TGTTTAGAGATTTTTTTTTTTGGCTAAAATGTGAAATAAAAAAAAAATTGAAATGTCTGAAAATGATTTTTTTTTATTATATTTTTTATAAAAAATGTGTAAAAAATAAAGAGAACAAAAAGAAATCTTTAATTTTTTGTATAATTTTTTGACCTTAGTGTAACATTTTAGCTATATTAATATCTTCCCAAACACCCCGTAAGCCTTTAAATGACAGCACTGTCATGCTATCTCCAAAATAAAATAGAAGGAAAAAAAAAAGGGTTGAATGAATAAAAGTCATGAAGCAAATTGTATTAAAGAGTGGAAAGTAAAATACAAGAGTAAGAAAGAGCTAACTAGGGAAGACAGTATTCAAAAGATAAGAACTACACCAAACAAATTTGTCAAAACTCTCTCTCTCTCTCTCTCTCTCTCTCTCTCTCCTTCTTGCACATTCCATCTCTATTTTCATATTACTGTACAAAATTCTCAACCTCCATGTCTAAAGATCAAGTATATCAGCAGAATTTACCAGGAGATGGTGAACCAAACCAGTTACCAAACGACTGCGAAGAGTGTCAAACACCAACTTCCCTAGATCACAAAATTCCAACAATCCAAACATGTCCACCGGCACCAAGAAAACATGGAGTTGAATTTTCTCGCAAGAGAAAATTTCCCAAGTTACAGTTCTTTGAAATTAAGGGACGCGAGGAGATAGAGTCATTCTTTGGATCGAGCTTTGAGTTTTCTGGCGTTGCATCTCGCAGTGTTAAGAAGAAGACGATTCAGTCAGTGAAATTCACTTATCATACAAATAATGTTCTTTATGCCAACTGTGCTTTGTATTTGTTTGTATGTTTGCTTATTGGGATTTGTGGACTGTTTTTGAAGTGCTACAGTGTCTCAGACCTCTTAACTTAATTGTATTGCCTTCTTTTTAGTCATGTGAAATTGCTGCTCTTGTACTAAGTTGATTCTTAATGTAATCCATCCATATCCAATATGTAGTCTTTATTGTGTTATGTTTCCCTGTAGCTGTTCACAAGTCAGATTTGATCATACACATTCTGAGGTCTCGTTTGAGAACATGCTAATTTAATAATTTTTTGTCTATTTGACTAAAATATGAACTAAAAAAAAAATATATTTGGGATGACTTTTTGACTTTTTACGAAAAGATATACAAAAAGTAGAAAGAAAAGAGAATCTTTGATTTTTTGGTATGAATTGTTAGCTTTTTGACTAATTTAATAACTTTTTAACAAAAAAGAAAGATTTCCAAACAAGGCATGAGTCGAAGACTATTGGTTCCTTGCTCAAAGGATTATGCATTTGATAATATATGAATGTTTTTATTTGTGGCTTTTTTCTGCCTTGAGACAAGTGCAAGAAAGTGAAATCTTTAATTCCACAGGAAAAAGGTGGACCATTGCCCAAGTTTGGTGAATGGGATGTCAATGACCCAGCATCAGCTGAGGGATTCACAGTAATTTTCAACAAGGCTAGGAATGAGAAAAAGACAGGAGGCAAGCCCGAATCACCAACAAAGGAGGAAACTGCATTTAACTCTTGGAAAGCGTCAGTCTGTAAGTTGTGGCTGGCTTTACTTCTTACTTGCCCGCTTTGTGAGCAGATACTGGGGAATAGAAGATATGGCCTCAGATGAGTTGTATGGTGAAAATATTCTTATAGTTAACCTGTAATACTTAGAATGAAGTCTTAGTAGTTAAGCTAATATTTTGGTTTAATGAACATGATGTTACATTAGAGAATATCGATCATGATACTATCATCTATTGGAAAAAAGTGATTGCCCTGTTTTGCTTTTTAGTAATGCAATGATCGAGAGTCTGTTTGTTTCTCAAGGTCCTACCCTTGGCCATTTTCACCTCTGAGAATTGTGAGCTAAATTTTATCCTATAAATATTGGAAAAAGATTGAGACCCACAATTTAATGACATGACACGTTATGTGTCAACTTTTGACTCAATTATATAAGGCTCAACTCCCTTGCTATGACATTCTAAAAAGAAAAAAGAAAAACTCCCTTGCTGTGTCATTGTTGGTGAATTGTGGGACTTAAAATTTGGGTCTCTAGCATTTCTGTTTCAAAATTTCTTTGTACTCTATAATAAGCATGAAGCACAACACCTCTCACTTTCACATCAATTTTGGACATATCTTGTTAAATTGCATACTTGGTAGCTCCTGAATGTTGAAATTTTCAATGTTCAGATGGCTGAGATATGTGGGACTCCAAGTCATTTTAAAGAAGGTTAATTTATATACAAGTTTAATTTATAAACTTATATTTTATTAAGTTTTAATTAAATTTTTTTAGATTTTCAAGTCCCATTAAAATTTTAATAGTCACAATTGTCTTTCAAATAATAATTGTTCATCATTTATAAATGAACGTGATGATTTAATAGTTATTTTAATTTTCAAAACTTTAAAATATCAACTTCAAATTGACAAAACTAAAAAAAAAATAATGTACAAAAAAAAAAAAAAAAAAAAAACTAATCTATGTGTTTGGTTTCAGTTTTCTGAATTTAATTTTTTAGAAATTGAGTTTTTCATTTTTCGTTTTTTTTGTTTTTAATGAATATTTTTAAAATTTTAAGTAATTTTTTTTTAATTTTTTTAGATGCACATTGCTTAGATGTATCTAAATAGTAAAATATTTATTTTAAAAAATTAATAAATATACAAAAAATAAGAAAAATATACGAAATTATGAACACTACCTCTCCACTAATCACAACACGGCACCACTTGGCAGTGCCCATGATCAACTAATAATTTCTCCTCTATTCATACGCCTACCATAGGTAAGGTGAGAATGCCATGTGTCGTGGATTGGAAATGACAGTGACGACGTGGCAAGTCGACACGTGCAAATGGCACGCACCTCTATAGCTGTAGACTCACCGGAGGAGCATTAGACGGACTACGAAAAAAAAAACAGTCCCGTTTTGTAGCTCGAATTTCTAAGGCTCGAATGGCCCAAAATTCCAAAACGACGTCGTTTTGGGTTTTTTCTTCTTCCTCTTTCCTTCGTTACTCATAGAAAAAGAAGAAGAAGAAGAACAAGGAGAAGGAAGAAGAAAGAAGAGAAAAGGGGAGCAGAGAGAGAGAGACCAACCAAAAATCAAATAGAGAGAGTGCTACAGAGATCATCTATCATCACACAAAAATCAAACTCAAATCACCCAACACAAAGAGAAAGTGATATAGGAAGAGAAGGAGAGACAGAGAGAGATCAACCAAAATTAAACCCAAATCACAAAGAGAGAGTGATACAGAGATCATCATCATCACACAAAAATCAAACCCAAAACCAATCACAGATTCAACAAATCAAAACCAAAACCAATCACAGACCATAGAGATCAACTAAAGAAAAATGTAAAAAACTGACCATAGAGATCAACTAAAAAAAAATGTAAAAATTTGAAATTTTTTTTCAACAGAGCATCATCATACACAGATGACGGAAAAAATGTAAAAAACAGACCATAGAGATCAACTAAAAAAAAATGTAAAAATCTGAATTTTTTTTTCAACAGAGCATCATCATACACAGATGACAGGCGATGCTTTTCCTCTCTGTTACCCCTTCCTTCTCTCTTCCTCGGAGGCAAAGATTAGAGATCGGAGGCCGGCGGTGGAGAAGAATTAGAGATCAGAGGCGTGATTGATGGGCGGTGCTCTTCCTTTCTGTTACCCCTTCCTTTTCTCTTCCTCTTCTCTCTCTATCCCTCCATCGCTCCCTCTGTTTCAGATCTAAAAGAAGGGGGAAAAAAAAACTGAATCCAAAACGACGTCGTTTTGGATTTGGGCCAATCGAGCCATGGGAAATTTGAGCACTGAATTATTTTTCAAAAAGAAAATCAAATTATACTATTTGTATTGATTTTTTAAATGGATAGTTCTATTCGTAATTATATAATTATTTTATTAGCATACTACATATATTTATAAATTATTAGTTGGACCCACACACGCATTATTATTGGGAGAAATAATAAAGGAAAGCAAAATTATAACGATTTATTTTAAAGAAATCTTCAACACAAAATACACAATATTTCTTCTTTTCTATTGAATTAATCATAATCATAATCTTGCATTTAACGAAATTGTAAATCAGGAAACAAATCAATCCTTCATGTCCTACAAAGAAAAAAAAAAAAAATTACTCAGAGGATTAGTTAGTTGGAAGGATTGTTTCCTCTTGTTTGTCTTTTCCTTCTCTTACTTCGTGGAAGGATACTTGTATGGTTATGCTCCAGTGGTCATAACTGCCTTTTGTCAAGAAGATGTACAAATTAGAAAGGTATACTCATTCAGTAAGTTAGTAAATTAGTATAGAAAATTCCTTAGACTATTACGGTCTAGAATTCTTCAATGTCCAAAACTAATCACCACAATCTATGTAATAAATTTTTATGCACTTTTAACATAGAGAAGAATTTTTAAGAATTTTTCAGAACAAATCTTCGATTGCTTCTCTTTTTTGGTTGGAAGCGGCACAAATAGATTAATAATATAGACAACAAGTGAGACAACTTTTGTGAAAAAATAGCAGATTTGTGCAACCTGAACAGTAACAATATAATCAATCACATTTTGAATAATGGTGCACACAAGAGACAGGCTAAACTATTATCAAGCAATAATAGCAAGTGTTGAAGTGTTTGAATTACTTTACGGCCATGTGACAAAATATATGTAATGAATAATAATACAACTACCAAAGAAAAACATTCATTGTCTGGCTACAAGTCAATAGCATTGTCGAGTCATAGTTAATATTAGCTGAAGACAAGACAAGTAGTCCTTCGAAATACCATGCTCTATACCCAGCCAAAATTGTATGGATAGCCTAATCACTCCAACCCCAAACACTCCAAATTTTATTGTACTTTTTAATTACACAAAATTACATAAAGATATCAATCCCAACTTTTGAGGGAAAAAAATTTATTTATCAGATTAATGTCTTTGATGAATCTTCACTTTTTGGAGGTTGCTCCTGTATCTATTTTATAGATCTATAGTATGAACAAACTATAAATTTACAAATTATAACAAACTACAAAATAACACACATAACCAAGACACATGTGTTCAACAAAAAGTATAATTATCAACAAAAGCTTAGAAGTAGAAAGAAAGAACTAAAGATTATTTGTCAAACTGATGACAAGTATATGTAGATTGCAATATATAATAATTTGACCTATTGCTTCGCACCCCCCTGTCAATTTACTATGAAGAGAAAAATAAGAAGGATTGAACTACCTACTCATTATTTGGAGGTGAATCATAGAACACCACATGCAGATTAGACCCCTTCCTTAATGGGATTGTCACCTCAGTGAGTCCCTCTTTTCCTTTCTCGTAGATGAGAATGAGTGTTCTTAAGGCGGGAACAGGGAAGAAGTGACGGAGGTCTTTTCGAGATTCAAATCAAAACACCAACTGGAAGTCTCCAAACCCCAATTATAAGCATATTGGTTATGTTCTGTTTTTAGTTTTGTCCTAACAAAGAGGCACTAAAAAAAGTAAATGATGTAGTTTTAATGGAGGTCTATCCACACTAACTAATTGTGAGCCTTCATATATTTTTTCATTTTTTCCTTCAAAAAATTTGCACTAGACTCATTTACAATTCTTTTTTGTACGCTGTGTGGGTGATGGAGATTAGAGGCGATCGGTCGTTGACCTCTGGGAAGATGGTGGGCACTTGAATAGCTTGAGATTACCGAAGGTAGCAGAGAAGAAGACAAGGCAAGCTTAGAGAGGAAATAGGTGGTAGTGAGAGGCCTTGAACACTTGGTATATGTTATGTAATTCTTGTTGCTCTTGTTGTGTTATTATGGTTGCACTTATGATGTCGTTATATAGACTCCAGGAGTATTGGAGCCCAATCAACCTCAAGACAGGTGGTGAGTTCTCCTTGACTCAACAAGAATACTAGTTGTGTCCTATGATTTAGATTCTTGGGAAGGTTGTATCATAGGAGCTGTAATTGTATGTATGATATCTTGAGAGGCATATCATATGTGCATCAGATGTACGTGTAAGGTCCCTTTCTCTAAGCCAGGTCAAAGGGGGAGTTGTCACTATAGGGAGACAGTTACACGACCTTGACGATCCCTGAGGTCTTAGCCTTCAATCCACAATCCTTCAATAATCCCAAGTGGGAGTGCCTAGGTCTTGCTTCCAACCTATAGGTGCCTCAGGGGTTTGCCACGTGGATGTGTAATGGTGATGATTTGACGGCCGTATGGCTCGCCACGTGGCAAGCATAATATAGATACCCACCTTAATGCCCTCTGTACAAATATTCTCATGAGAGTGTTTGTACATGTATGCCAAAGATGTTGAAAATATAAGTCATCCAATTAATAAAATTTGATTTCTTTTGAATCAAAGGGAGATTTTTTTTATTGCTCATGGAGAATTCACATTTTAATTTCATCTAGCACGAATAGGCCAAACAAAAATGTGGGCTTGTTGGGCGATGACTGCGTTCCACGGGATCTCTACTACTTCACATGAGATTTCAACTTCGTTCCATAAGTACCCAAATCCCGCTCGTCACGGGT